ACTGGTACAGAAAACGGTTTCAGCAGTGTTGGGTGTAATATATTACCTTAATATTATCACTGTAACATGTTACAACAGTATGGTGTAGTCTGAACCCTGCAGCACTTTCATGACAGTCCACTCTCATGTTGTTGGGATATGTCTCTCTGGATTTACTGTGCTACTACCTCATGGCTGAAAACACAGAGTAACTAACAAAGAGTATCGTTCTTAAAAACATAGATTCTAAGAACAAATATATTCTCATGTGTTCTGCTCCATGTCTGCAGCTTCACTCACATCTGTCATGATTAGACATTACTATATATATCTGTACGTTGCTTTATGTCGCCAAACCTTTACAGCTCCTTATAATAAACGAGAGCCACTCCTACATAAATACCCACAACCACACACTGTGTATATTTATATGTATATACACACACACACACACACACACACACACACTGCTTTGATATGATCATCAGTACTGCAGCTGCAGCGTGTGTGCAGCTAAACTCACTGCAAAGCCCAGTGATAACAGGGCAGCATCCCACACATGCACACACACACACACACACACACACACACACACACACACACACACACACACACACAGTGAAGACCTCGTCACAACTGATGGTTCCTCACAAACCTGAGGTCTCATTCATTTTAAAACACTTGTGTAGGATCCATATTAAAAATGTACGTACAGACAAAATCTAAAAATTAGCATTCGCCAAAAAATACTCAACAAAGTCTACAGTCGGGCTCCACCTCACCACCTGTGTCACCAATGTCCCATCCTCCAATATGTTGGTAAGCATGGGTCAAAGTTTCTCCCATCAATATGTTAATATAAGCACAGTGAAAGTCAACATTTATTACTAATATATCTGAAACATTTTTGGTTCTTTATTTAAAATTAGCGGAGAAGCTGAGGAGCAAAAAGCCTCCTAAAAATGTGTTATTAGGATATCTGATGAACAGATGCTCCTCTCTGTGTCTGCAGCTGTTGCAGGAACATTTATAGAATAATTAACTTCAATAAAACAATTTCAGAACTTAAACTGAACCACTGCATTGGCAGAAATTCTCAAGCATACTTATAAAGGCTCAGTGATTCATCGGATTAAATGAGCTGGTCTTATTTTTTATTAAATCAGCTTTCTTTAATTCATATAATTTATGGCATTCGTCAGTGCAGGAGCCTCCCTGGAGTGCAGACAGTCGGAGTGACCGCAGTGAAGAGATGTTTTTAAAAAGGCTGAGTGACATCAGAATTGGACTGAAGCAGGATATGTTGTTATATAAAAACATGATGTCAATTTTGGAAATGATTACATCTTTTTTTTTTTTAATTAATTTTGACTGTTGGACTTTAGACTGCTCCTGAATGATTGGAAACGTCTGGCGTCCTCCATCAGCTGTGACACAGCGCTGCTAGCTTAAATATATACATGAAGTTTGTGTATGTAGGAGCTAAATCTGTTTATGGAAGAATTATTTTTTTAGCAGATATGTTCGTCGTAACCAGGCCGAGCTAACTGAGCAGTTTTGTGTTTATATGTGAGGTATTTATTTAGTTTGGGAAAGCCGACATCTTCAAAGTATGAAGCTCATGTTGGCTGGTGGACTCTATAGGGACTAGAAAACAGGTCTGCAGGTCGTTAATATGGTTCAACCTACTTGCTGGAGTAGTAAACTAGGTTTCATTACATAAGGGAGTCTGAGGTGACTGATTCTTTTCCAGGTATTAGTCTGAGCCTCTGTATTTTCATGTAAACAGAGACAACAGTCACAAAAAGTTTTTTTATCTTGAGAGCTAACTGCCCCTCAACATGAGCACAAAGCACACACTCTCCTGTAACACTGCTTAAATATATTATTTTGTAATGACCGCTGACTGATACCCTAGGGGAACATTTGGCACAACTCACGAACATGAGTTTATTTAACGGTAAGCTGTTGTTGGCTTTTGGAGACGGCACAGAAACTTTACTCTGACAAAAAGAAAAGTTCCAACACACAGAGAGTATCATGTCACTTCCCAGTATTTATACCAAGCCCTTCAGGCCGTTACATAAAACGACATGAGCTGTGTGTTAAGTATCCAGGAATTAGTTTGCGCTGACCACAGATTTATATTTCTGGCTCTCAGGACTTGGCTGTGGGTAAACGCTGGAGCCTCTCGCCACAGAGATATTTAGTTTTCCACAGATCTCAACAGGGATGGAACACGAGCATAAAAACCCAGAAGCCCAGAAGAGGCTGGGAGTGATTAATTGTCATAAAGTTACTACAAGAACATTTATTTTGGAAACCTCCGCTCTGTAACCATCAGATGAGCGCTGTCCTGATATTTACGGACTGAAAGAGAGGAACTGATATACGGGACGTTAATAGAAAAATATGCTGTGCTTTGGGTATGCTGTGGCCTCAGCTATGAACACTGTGGGATAACAGCGAATGTTAGAGAGTATGTCTGAACCAGATGTCAGCTCGAACCTCTCCAGACCCCACTGACCACTTTAAATAACATTACAGCCAGGGACTGACAGAGGGCGGCTCGAGAGGTGGTCTACAAGCAGCGGGAACAGTAATGACAGTAACAGCAGCAATCCGAACATTCTGGAAACATTTCGAAATACACAATATGGCCAAAAGTATGTGGACACTTAAAAGACTATAACCACTAACATTCCTGTTTACACGCAGCCAGGCATATTCCAATTAATTACATCAAAATATGGAAACAAGCCACGGCTATCACTTGTTCCACGATGTGTCCGAACCTTAAGAACACAGCCTCCTTTTTTATTCCTTTAACCACCGTCTTGGGCCCTCGTCACATGGGACGTGCCGCACTGCCTTTTTCTTTTAACCCAATGCCACTAGTAAAAAAGATGCCTGCTGTGTTTTTTTATTGTTGCCAGGCAACCACCGCATCACCTCCTAACATTCCCATGTAATCAATGTACTGTTTATTCATTGTCTGTATCCTGCAGTAATGAGTGTGTAGCTGCTGCCATGTTGAGGCAGAGGGTGCTGTCTGTAGCTCTGGTTGAGGGTGAGAGGCTGTCAGCAGATAAACAGAGATCTGTGTGGGTACATGAGACCCTAAAAAAGAGGCTGGATCATGGGGAGTACCACCAGTTGGTCCAGGAGCTTCTCCTCCATCATGGACGTTTACAGTACTGCACTTATCTGCTGTTTTCTATTGAGATGGTGCTAACTGTGCTTTGTAAAGTCGTATAGCTCTGGGTATCCAGCAACCACTACCACCAGTTTCTCCTCCATTGGTTACCAACTGTAAACTTGTTGTCGTGACCACCACAGAAGCCCCGCCTCTCAAATAATCCCATTGGACAATGGGGGAAAAGCAGGGATGACGTGGGGCGCTTTTCTGCTCTGAGTTGAAGTTTTTTTCAACTCAAGAAGTTCAGAGAGCTCTGGCTGAAACAACAGGCGCCTAGAGCGCAAAAATGTGAGGGTTGTAGCAGCGCTAAAACAACGAGCAAAAGTTTAATTCTCATTAAAAACTATTACAAAAGCTGCCCCCTTCTGAAAAAGGCTTTCTGTGGGATCAGGGCCTTGAAAAGGTTAGTGTTGGGATATTTGCGCATATCCAAAAACCTGCTGATATCCAAGTCTTTAATAATGTTTAAAAGCAGGTGTGCTTCTCCTGACCAGAAATGTGGGCTCTTCTTTTGGACAACCTTGCAAACTGTTGACAAGTTGGTTTGTGTACAATGCACAAAGCTGACTGTAAACAAGCGAGAGGCCGTGTGTCAGAAATTGCTCTAAAAACCTCATCTGAGATGTGTTATCTGAACGTGCTGTGTACATGCCCGACGAACGCTCCTAAAACTCTAATACTGACACATCCAACATCTATTCAGAAAATGCTACATTTGGAATACGGCCTCATTTGCAATATCCAAAGTGAACCTGCTGTTATCATGACACGTATTAAAATCTGAATACTGTCATACTCAGAAGGCGCTGAGAGTCAGCACCTTCCAGTCTGAGGTCATGGTTCTCTGCTGGAAAATGGTGGATTGCCCCCTCAGGGCTGGGAGAGAGTTACTGCCCCAAGTGAAGGAGTTCAAGTATCTCGGGGTCTTGTTTACAAGTGAGGGTAGAATGGAGCGTGAGATGGATCAGTGGTTTTACTGCCGGTCCGTCGTGGTAAAGAGGGAGCTGAGCCAGAAGGCAAAGCTTCTGATTTCCTGGTCCATCTGCGTCCCAACCCTCACCTGTGGTCATGAGCTCTGGGTAGTGACTGAAAGAATGAGGTCACAGATACAAATGAGTTTCCTCTGTGGGGTGTCTGGGCTCAGCCTTAGAGATAGGGGGAGGAGTCAGACATCTGGAGGGAGCTCGGAGTAGAGCCGCTGCTCCTTCATGTTGAGGTGGTTCAACATCTGATCAGGATCCTCCTGGGCGCCTCCTGTTAGAGGTGTTCCTGGCATGTCAAAGTGGTAGGAGGCCCCGGGGCAGACCCAGAACACACTGGAGGGATTACAAACCCCCAGATCCTCCAGGAGGAGCTGGGAGGCGTTGCTGGGGTAAGGGACATCTGGAATACTTTGCTCAGCCTGCTGCTCCCACTAACCCGGCATTGGATAAGTAGTTGAAATGGAAGGACAGTGATATTCAGAATAATAGCGGAATATGTGTGAAAATGTAGTCGCTGTCATTTTGAAACATAAAAGGTGGTTTCTCTAATGATTGGGACAAAGATGGAAGCACACAGCTGTTTTAATAAAATTGTGTTTTGTATCATTAAGATTTTTCTTAACTGGAAATTAAGGCCTCAACCGAAGCACCCCAACAGCCTGAGACAAGAAGTACCCAAAAGGTCCGTATACTTTTGGCCACATAGTTTGACAGAGTGCACGACTCTGTAGAGTGAACGCTATCAAACATGGAGCAGAGATCAGCACAAACACAGAACAGAAGTTTCCACATGTGACAGCGAGATATGAAACGATAAGAGTGGTTTTAAAGCTGTTTACCTTTGGTCTGCTCACAGCGCTCAGTCCAGCTCACACACACACGACGCAGAGGAGGGATTCAATCAGCCTGCAGAGACACACAGAACATTTATTATTATATATGATCAGATTTCCTTTCAGACGCGTCTTCCATCCTGCTGACAGCACAATATGAAAACCACACTTTGGTTAGAAGATGCCTAAAGATCTGGGGCCTGTAGGGAGCTATAGTTTTTAAAGGAACACTGTCATTTTGGAAAATACACTGAAATTAAATTAGATTAGTTTAAACTGCAGTTTTACAGAGAAGTATGTGAGTAAAAGTTTCATCTTCAGTTCAGAGAGCGTCTGCTGCCAAACTGAGCACAAAAACTGGAAGCAACACACACACACACACACACACACACACACACACACACACACACACACACACACCTGGCAGCTGTCTACACACCAAACGTACAGTCAGCAGGTGGCACTAGTGTGTGTGTTTCCTTCATGCTGAGCAGGCTGGATGTGTGTGACCTAAAAATAACTGACATGCAGCAACATTTAAAACACACTGCCGTAGTCCCTCTGCTTCCCAGTGTGTCCCTGTGTCTCTCTGCCCTTCATCACAGCCCTCCTCTTCATCCTCTGCCTCCTCTGCGACTTTGTCTTAACTCCTCAGTCGCTCATTTTCCTTCTCTTGATCTGCGTCTGCTGATTCAGCTGGAATTGGTGACATTTCACTAAATCATCACAGCTCATTATGTCGAGACGTCATCTCGTCAGATTCAATCACGTCTGACCTTTATCGAGAACACACACACACACACACACACACACACACACACACACACACAGAGTGATGGAGGTGTGGACGGAAAAGCGAAAGGGACAGTTTGGATCTTTTGAGGTGGGGCTGTATGAGGCCCTCATGTCAGTCAGCAGTTTGGAGAAAACCATCATCATCCTCACTGTGACCTCGTCACATGTCCACGTTTGGTCATGGACTTTCCACGTCCACATATGGCGTCCAAGGTACCCTGGGTGTGTTGGTTGTTGACGTTCTGGGACGCCGTGTCAACTTCAGCCTGTTACATGCATTGTCTGTTTTCAAAATACACTTCTGTTTTCACAGGAAATGTACAGTTTGCATACAGACTCTTTCAAAATAAAAGCACTACGTCGGTACAACAATACACATGTGGTTACGTTTAGGAAAAAGAAGGAAGTCTTACAGGAAGTGAACACCGGCCTCCCGGATGAAAGCTGGTGGTTGTTGGACCTATCCACCACCCCATCACCCGCTCCACTCTGACCTTTCACCCCTTAACTTACATTATTGTCCCGCTGTGTTCCCCTCTGACCCCGTCCAGTGCTGTGACAGAATAACAGTGACCAGCTGCATATCAGGCTTTGTTCCTCTGTGTCTGACAAGTCACTGACCAAGCGCCACATTTCACCATGTTCGGAGTGAGACTCGGTTGGTTGCAACATTAAAGTGACGTACACATTAAAGCATCACTAATTATATTTCAGTAATTTAACATATGAATCTGAAAAGGACCATTCTGCATTAGGAGTACTTTTACTTTCAGTACTTTATACTATGATGTTGATATGTACTTTTACTTAAGTATGATGAGTTTTACTTGTAACAGATTATTTTTACAATGTAGTATTGTAATTTTAATTCAGTAAAATGCCTGAATACTTCCTCCATCACTGGACCTTTCTGTGGACTCTTGTGCATGTTACACATTTACTATGTGTTTTACTTTGCATGTGTACTCGGTGCTGTTCTTTCCCTGGTGATACGTTAAGTTTTTTGGGAATGAGGGACAATTTGACAGCCGACCTAAAGTTAGTGTTTCCTTGTTGCTTATTTCATTCATTAAAACCTGTTTTCAAATTCTTGTTTGTAATCTGATTTGTCATCATTATCATTTGTTGTATTTTACAGTGTCTACAGGTACCAGAGTTAATTTCTAACCAAATTAAAGGGATAGTGCACCCAAAAATGAAAATTCAGCCATTATCTACTCACCCATATGCCGAGGGAGGCTCAGGTGAAGTTTTAAGAGTCCTCACATCACTTGCAGAGATCCAAGGGGAGAGGAGGTAGCAGTATGGAGATATTTTGTGGTTTCAATGATGTGTTTTTGGACGTTTGAATCTGGGGCGCCGTCAGCCTCCATTAGGTGGAGTTGTGTTGCTACCTCCTCTCCCCTTGGATCTCTGCAAGTGATGTGAGGACTCTAAAACTTCACCTGAGCCTCCCTCGGCATATGGGTGAGTAGATAATGGCTGAATTTTCATTTTTGGATGCACTATCCCTTTAAGACGGATTTGCAAATAAGTATAAAGGTCTGGTAGTAGGTATGTGTTTTCCTGCAGAGGTGGGTTGGTTTAAAGATTCGTAACATCACAAACTGGACTTCCACACAGAAGAGCTCGAGTCATTTTGACAGAAGGAAAGTTAAAGATGAATATATGAATTAGATCAAATATAAAAAAAATTCAAATTTAAGACTTCTTAATGACTTTTAAGACCTTATATTTATAAGTTGGATGTAAAACTTTTTCAAGACCTGCAGACGACCTGGTTTTATCCAGTTCTGTTTTCACAGTCTCTTCCATTAAAAACAGCTGACCCATCTTCAGCCCTCAGTGGAAATGTTCTTATGTATTTGTGCACTCAGACGCATTGTGAACTCAGCTGAGAGCCACTCTTTGTATCCATGTATGATCTTTTCATTACCTAGTGGACCTTCAGGCTGAGCTGTGGACACTTTTATGATGTAACAGTTTCTGGACGACAGAGGAACGAGGCCACGAGCTGCGTCAGCTCTTTTTACGACATCTGTTGGCATAAACAAAGTTAAATAGCACCAGCTTTGTTTTCCAGGCATATTGCAGTCAGCTGTGCAGGTCCGGGACGTCAGCTTGTCACGGGACAGTTGCTGGTTGGAATCCCCGGACTGGTTTCTGTGCTGCGAGTCAATGAGTAACACTGATGTGCCCATGAGCAGAACACTGCTAGACGGCGGATAAATGTGTGTTTGTCCCAACAATGGTGTTCTTGTTGTTTCAGCTGTCAGCTACTGATCATATGAGAGCTGCTAATGATCTTATGCAACAAAGGATTGAAGTGTGTGTGTGTGTGTGTGTGTGTTTGGAACAGTGTGAATTTCTTCTCTTCATGTGACAGACATGTTGATGTTTCTTTGTATTTGTAAGACATAGTGAGTTTGTGGAAGGACGACACACAGATGAACACATCCATGTGACGGATGAAATCATGCACCCTGCAACTCCCAAAACGCACACACACATATTTAAAGGGATAGTTCATATTTTTAAGTGAGTGTGTAGGAGGTAATTATTAGGGTTGCAACGGTAAAAGATTTTCCTGGTACGATAACTGTCTCAGAAAATATTGCGGTCAGAATCAGAATGACCCTTAAAGGTATGAAAACAAAAGGGTTATTGTTGGTTGAAGAAATGTTTTATTACTATAACTGAACCTTGAATCATTTTTGTTAATGGACGTTTGTCACACAAAAATATGGGGGAGAGTTACAGCCTCAAGCGAGGGAGTTCAAGTATCTCGGGGTCTTGTTCACGAGTGAGGGTAGAATGGAGCGTGAGATGGATCAGTGGTTTGGCACAGTGTCTGCAGTGAAGAGAAAGTTGAGCCAGAAGGCAAAGCTTCTGATTTCCTGGTCCATCTGCGTCCCAACCCTCACCTATGGTCATGAGCTCTGGGTAGTGACTGAAAGAATGAGGTCACAGATACAAGCGTCTGAAATGAGTTTCCTCTGTAGGGTGTCTGGGCTCAGCCTTAGAGATAGGGGGAGGAGTCAGACATCTGGAGGGAGCTCGGAGTAGAGCCGCTGCTCCTTCATGTTGAGGTGGTTCAACATCTGATCAGGATCCTCCTGGGCGCCTCCTGTTAGAGGTGTTCTGGGCACGTCCCACTGGTAAGAGGCCCCGGGGCAGACCCAGAACACACTGGAGGGATTATATATCTCATCTGGTCTGGGAACACCTAACATGAGCTAAACTGCAAGCATTAGGAAGAATGCTTGTTTACATATTGAACCCATTAACCCAAACACAGAGACATGATTGCTTTCTTCAGCAATACCAAAAACGGTAATCACTGGGGATGGCTCAACTGTTAACTCTGATTTCTCTAAATATGTCTATATGACTTTAGGAAGTGTATTTTGAAAACAGACAATGCATGTAACAGGCTGAAGTTGACACGGTGTCCCAGAACGCCAACAACCAACACACCCAGGGTACCTTGGACGTCATATCTCAGGATGGGAAGTCCACGACCAAAAGTCAATATGTGACGAGGTCGGAGAATGTGTTGTTGCAGCTTGTAAAGATGAGATTATTTTCATTGGGCTACTTTATATATCACTGCTGGGAATCTTAATCTTTGATAATTCTATAGATCTGTATCTGTAGGCGTTTCTACAACAAACAAACTGACGGTAGCAGAACAACGTGCGCTCTTCATGACCTGTTGCACTTGATGTATCCTTCCTTCATGTGGTAACGTTCTGATGTGGTTGTGACATCTTCACACTTTCCATCTCAACACAGGAATTCAAAACTGATGTGTCATTTAAAACAGTTCCTCATCCCGCAGTGTTGCAACCGATTACATCACAGGACAGTATTAGGAAGAATTAGCTAATAAGCTGGTGGTTGACCATCTGCCCTCTGTAAAGAACTCCGAGGGGAGCGGTGTGGTTAACGCCTTTGATTGTGGGTTAATCACAATCTCTTAGTTCTATAAATATCATTGTGTTGTGGTTCGTCTCTCCTAATGAGTGTCACTGATCCAGAGCTTCTTGGCATCTCTGTAGAAACATCTCTCCTGCAAACATTTAGTGTTTTGGCTTGTTAGTTTGGGATTGTTCGTCGTCTATTGTCATCTGTGATTTGGTTAACAGCTCGATGAACACACCGCTCCGTTGGTCTTTAATGACCCAAAAATAAATGAAGTGCAGCTTTATTCAAAAGTAAATCTAAATAACTGAGAAAGGCAACTTAAGACCTCATTTCAGCTTCATCTCTCAAATG